CTCCCAGGGCTTTGCAGAGGACCTTGGGAGCCAAGAATGGGTGGCAGGACTGTCCAGCTCTCGGTGAGCCCATGTGCTGGTCATCCCGTGCTTGCTCTCAGGCTCTCTTCCAGGACAGATGCTCCAAACAAACTTAGCAACAGCCAAGCCACACCTGGGACCATCCTGCAAAAGACACTGCAGGAGCCCTTCTGCATTTTGTAGGAAGTAGATTTCTGCTGGTTTGTGCTGGCTGTGATGCAAGAGCACACAGGGGAGCTCAGGCGGCCAAACAGCTGCAAGGAGCTTGTGTATGAGCTGGGCACCAGCCTGCTCAGCCTTGTCCAAAGTGGTCAGRAAACCTTTTATTTCTCCATACCAGATACCCCTGGGGCCAAGGCAGGAGGTCAATGCCAAACTCCACAGGCTGGAGAAAACTTGGTCTGCAAAGCAGAACTGCAGGCACCAAGAGAGCAGTGAAACTGAGCAAGTTGAAGGTTGGGCAACCATTGAATGGGCCATCTAAGCAACAGTTTTGGAATTAAATATACAAGTTCTTTTTTGAGTCTTCAATACACAAAAAGATAAAGAATTACTCCAAACTGATTAATTTCTGAATTAATTTATGGATTCCCTTACAACAGCAGTCCTTTATTACCCAAAAATTTGCACAGGAGAAAAAGAAGCCCTTACAAATGTTATCAGATATGAAGGACAGAGATGTAGATAAACCAGCCTGTCTCTAGTCTGTTTTTTCTATCTGCATGTTTCTATCATTAAGTGCTGTTACATTTCTGTTGGCTGCATTGAAGGCACCTTTTATTGAAGTTTTGTCYCTTATATACCTATTTAAATGGTGTCCTTAAGTCACCTCGTAAATCCGATTTATTAAAGGCATTGCATTTCCTGAGTTTTTCTGGTTCTCTAATGGTTCTTTCAGTTCTTTGCTAYCCCACTCCAAGGTTTTTTAAACATTCTGCTTGAATTATTCAGAGCTTTAAGATGTAGCCAAAATAGAATATGCTTTCTTTAATGYTGTGGATCAAGAATTTAAAGCCCTATGGAGTCAAAAATTTGTCCTTCCAGAGTTTCTCTTGAAATACACAGACTTAACTGAGAATTCTTTGCCCACATACAGCTGAGATTTATCATCTGTTTTGCAATCTATTTCACATGTGCAGTGCTGTTGCTGTAGCATTATAGTTCACTAGTCAAAATACTATGAGTGTTAAGAAATGTCCAAATGTATAATGTTTACACTCAACCCCATATTGATCAATTTCATAGCCCATTAAAAAGAAAGAAAAAAAGGATATTTTGAAAAAATCTGTTTCCCTAAGCAGTCCTGTGTTCTATTACCAGTTTTATGAGTAATGCACTGAATGACAGTATTATGGAAAAATTTAGGTAGGAAGTGACCTAAAAAAAAATCCCCAAGGACAGTGTTCAGCATCTCTAAGTTACAGCCTCATATGATGAATCTTCTGTTTTACCTGAAGCCAGAAAGCATAGGAATTCTCCAGAACATGGTTTTTTTTTTAGTACAATCACTGGTGGTGGTGGTGGCAGTTGCCAATGTTTTGGCTCTGCAGCAATTGGTGCTTTAAAAGACTGAAGAGGAAGAAAAYTTAAAAAGAAGTTGTAGTGAAAGGACAAAGGATTCTCATCCTTCTTGAATCTACTACTTGATAGCAGTAGATATGATATTGTAGATATAGAACACCTTAATTCAATGTGTACCTAGTAATATGGAAAAAAACCTCCCAACTCTTCCTGCCCCTAAATATCTGGAAAATCCATCCAAAGGTAAGATAATATTTCACAAAAAGAGGCATAAAAGCAAAACTGCAGTAAAAAAAATGGTATGCGATGCCAAAGAAGATCTGTAGTTACCTTGCTATGGTTTGTAGTGAAGTTAAAACTGTTTAGGTAGTGAAAGGATACTTCTAATACTGCCACTGAATCCAACCCCAAGGAAAAGTTTCACTCACAGTAAGTTAAATAAGCTCTTAGCTTCAAAAGATAGAAAAATCAGTTATCTACGTTATTATTTACAGTAAGTACAATTAGGAATGCTAGTTAGAAACTGCAAATAAAGAACTAGAAGACAGATGAATTACCATAGTATAATCACACAATTACTGAATCATCATGGTTGGAAGAGACCCTCAAGATCATATATTGAGAGGATTTATCTGCTGCCAAACAGGWGCAGCTGCATATACAAACTGAACACAAAGGTGACCATGGGCCATCACTGGTACTGTGGCCACTGAAAATGATAATGAAATCCTTGACCATATCAGGAGAAGTATTTTCAATAAACAGAAATTATAAGGAGAGGGCTTGCACATTGTGTTTGGTTCTGCCACACACCCTCTCAGGAATCACATACACAGYAAGAACTTGTTTGCTGAGTGAAACGAGAGTGAAAGCTGAAAAAGAAAATTATTGCTGTCACTAAATGCCCTAGCTAGGCAAGCCCTGGAGAACAAAATTAGTTGTTTAAGTTAAAAGACAAAATGATACTAGGAAACAAATACAAAGTGGCAATAAATCCATTTAGACTAGAAATTAGCAGGAAGGTAACCAGTTCTCTAACAGCAGGACAATCAATTCACTGCTGTTTTATTTAAAGAACCTGCTTATGAAACTTACTTTCTGCAATGTAGTTATRTGGTTGTCTGTGATAACTGAAAAAYAGCCTACATCACTGGGGGCTTTTTCCAGACTGAGAGCAATCCTTTCAGGCACTAAAAGAAGACAGGAAAGAAATGAAGGGACTCAAAGCCTCAGGTTTGTAGTTARCAATCTTCAAGAAACTTAATAATTTAATTAATGGCCTGATGGGTTTTTTTTGGCAGATTTTTGATTCTTTGCAAATCAAAGCATGGCTTGATAGAAGCCTTCAGCTTTTTCTTACTTTACATCTTCCAACCTTCCTCTACCCATTGTCTCAGATGTTGACTGACTGAACATACCTCTCCGAAATCAAAAAGAAGTCATACGATAGGGGTAGAGGGTAGAAGCTCATCATTTGAGAAAGGACAAGCAGCAAAGAGACTGAGACTTTGTAATGTGGGGATTACACAGTACTTCTGGTGAGGTATTAAATAAATAGCAAAGTCAAATAAAGTCTAATAAAAATCCTTCATTTTCTATGCTGTCTTTTATGAAACAAAGAGATGCTTTGTGCTCACTCACTGCCATCATACTCTTTCCTCCAATCTTCCACTGGGATACCTTCCATGTGTTCCAGCTGCCAACAGCAGCAGGCTGTGAGGCCTCTGGGAAGATCCAGTGTTGGGGTCTCTTATGCATAAGCTGAAGCCACCAGAGTTACTGTGGGCACACGCATGATCTTGTCACTATAACATTTTCTTCTGCCTTTTGTCTTTTTCTGCCTTTCTCTGTCAACCTAGCTGATGCCTCAAGCCACAGCACAGAGAAATGAAAGTACAGTTTCTGTATTTTAAGATGGCAGAGTATTAATTAGGACCAYAACTGGGGCCTCATCCTATGCTACATTACCAGGACGAAACAGAATGGRTGAATTGTTCTGCACTTGGCTCTGCTGGGTTTGCTATCGTGTCTATCAGTGCTCAGTTGCATTTTTATTTTTTCCCTTTCTCTAGCTACAGGAAGGGCTCAGAAGCCAGTGGTCAGAATTAAAGATAAGGTGAATCCAACCCCTTCCAGTCTCATATTTGCTTGTAATCTGTATGCCTCCTTTTAGGGTTTATATTTTGTACACCCTTAGYACAGACAATTAATTGTGCCTTACAAAATTTACACAAGCTTGTTCTGCTGATTGCCAGCGTTACTCACTATCCCAGCAACTCTGAGGGGTACAAGCCTCCTCCGTCGGACTCCTCTGGCACTCTGTACTGCAATTGGCATGGCGTGGCCATTTGTCTTTCCTGTTAGACAGCGAGTCGAGCTCACCTCTGCCATTTAAATGGTTTTCACTTGTTTTTTTTTGCCAGGAAACAGAAATCACAATTTCTTACGAACAAAGCAGGAATTTAATTTTTTTTCTTCTTCATACATAAAACCGCAAGTGTAGATACAAACCCCAYATTTAGTTTTTCCACCTGAACTACTGACCGCGCCGCTGCTGTGTCAGCTAAGAAACGACGATCCCTGCTACTTGGCCCGTTTATTTCACGGTCCCCTCAGCTCTTTCCCCGACGGAGACTCCCGCGGCTCGTCGCGGTGGCAGACACCGCATGAATCACCAGGGACTGTTTGCCTTGGCCCGCGGGTCCTGTGCGCGGTGAATGGGATTTCCATTCCCCGACGTTTCCCTCGGTCGGCTTCCCTGGAAGGCAGCGCGGGCCCGGCCGAGRAGCACGGTGCTGGCCGGGGAAGGTCCGCCAGACCGAAACTACACCGCTCTCCTCCAGCAGAGACCCCACGGCTCCCTCCGGGAGAGACCCCTCGGGTGGAGCTCCCCTCGCCGCCCGCCACAGCGCAGGGACAGCTCTGGCAGGGAAGAACCAGCAGCGGGGCCGAGGTGCGAGGGGTGGCGGGGCCGGGCCGGGTTCACCGCGCCAGGAGGGACCGGCAGCCCGTGTCCCTGAGGGGGCTGGCGGGAGAGAGCGGCTCCCACACCCCTCGGGACCAGGCAGGAAGGCGTGAGGCCGACGGCCCCAGTCCCGCGAGAGCCGTCGAGTCACTTTCTTCCCTCACGGATGACGGGAGAGGGGGACAACAGCCCGCGGAGAACAGCGGGACCGCGTCCCTCACACGGGGCGGGCGGGAAGGAGCGGGACGACAGATCGTACCCTAAGGGGGGCAGGAGGGAAGGAGCAGGACCGCGTCCCTGACGGCAGAGGCGGCTGAGTAGAGAGGAGCCCGAGCTCCCGGGCTCTGGACGTCTGGGCGGCCGGTGTCTCCATAGAGGGACTCGCCGCTTTCCCTCCCCTCTGCACGGCTGAGCCGGGCTCCTGCCGCCGGGGACGGGGCTGGCGGGAGGCGGCTGCTCCCGGGGGGCGGGCGGGGGAGCGCCGTCCGGGGCCGCGCCGAGGGGAGGAGGCTCCGCGCTCGCTCCCGGCCGCYGCCGCTGCCCGCGCCGAGCGGAGCGGTCCCGCCAGCCCCGCAGGTAAGCCCGGCTCTGCCGCCCGCCCTGCCCCGCCTCGTCTCTTCTCTCCCGCCCGCCAGGCGGGTCCGCGGCGCCCCGCCCGGGAGCACCGCACCCCCGCCGCGTCCCGCGGG